ACGTCCGGTCCCCACCATCAACTGGGGCTTTGGCAGCTGAGGTGAAGATGATTCCTAGACGCGTGGCGCGACCGTTACGTAGCTGCCTGAAAGAGCTGCTCGACTGTTTGGAGGCATCTCAGCATCAGATGCGGCATAACTGGCTCTCGACGTAGCTATCCATGGGTGACTACATACTAGAAGTTCGCAGCTCTGTTCTGACGGTGACATGACATTCCAGGAAGGTCTTCTCCAGTGGACGCAGCTGCGATCTGGATTGACTTCATATTTTGGTGTACATGAAAGGTGATGGGCGAGCGCCCAGCTCCTGCTTGTAGAGGAACATCTTGGGTATCTTCCGCCCTGGTACTCGTATCCACGTCCTCCGTGCTGGGCTTGGCGAAAACTCTGCTGATATGTTGACTCGGTCTCGAGAAGTCTTTTTTTTTGCCCCCCCCCCTCGAGGTATCATTGGGGAAAATGCTTCATATGAAGCTGGCGTGGTGAGTGACAATCATGTGCTGGAGATCGCGATGGGCAAGAGCTCATTCACCACTCACATAGTGTTGAATTAATATTAATTTTATTATATAATTATATTATTAATATTATAATTAATAGCTTTGAAGTGCACAGGGACCACTTTCGAAAAAAATGCAAGAGCACACGCATCCAAACCCTCGACCACGCATCCGTGAGCCCTACGACGTATCCACTCGGCCATGCTGCCACGATCTCGTCAGCCTTACGCCGCCAATTTGTAGTGTATTCTCCCCCAAAAAGCTCCGTAACTTCTTTCTGGGAGGTCCGCAGCAGATATGGAAGACGGTTTCGTAAGACCTTTCAGCCGGTATACATTTCATTTCAAATGGCCACTTCGACCTACCATCTTTCCCTCGTTAGCGCGGTCATAGGTTTTCCAAAATGTTTTATGAATTCTGCTTCTTCGAATTTTTTTTCACTTTTGCTATTTGACACACATACTTCAACTGAATTGGTTTGGTACCGACACATATATGACTCCGCCCACTTTTCAATGTAGTTACGCAAGTTTTGAATTTTTATAACTTTTTTCGACGTAGATCTTTTCACATTGAATCTTCACAAAACGCATATACTCATAGCCATGCATTTGCACACTAGCACACTAAGCTTCGCTCTCTGACCACGCCCCTTTTGAGTTTCTGCGGGAATGTGATTTCTCTTCCGAATTTTCGACTTTTTAGGCTACAGCAAGTGGCTCCGCCCACTAATGGAAGCTCCGCCCACTTTGTAGAAGCCCCGCCCACTTTTGAAAAATGATGCAGATCGGCGGCTAGAGTCTTACTGGCAGGTTATGGCCTCTCCCGTCACATAGAACGGAAAAAAGGGGAACCTTGTTCCGAGTGACGGGAGAGGCCATGAGCTGCCAGTAGGTCTGCCTAGCCTGCCGCTCTGTATCATTTTTCAAAAATGGCGGAGGCTTCTGCAAAGTAGGAAGAACTTCTAATAGTGCTGGCACGTGCTGCAGCCTAAAAAAGTGAAAATTTGGAAGAAAAATCAAAATTCCGCGAAAAACACAAAAGGGGCGTGGTCAGAGGGGCGGGGCTCAGTGTGCTAGTGTGCAAATGCATGGCTATGAGTATATGCGTTTTGTGAAGATTCAATGTGAAAAGATCTACGTCGAAAAAAGTTATAAAAATTCAAAACTTGCGTAACTCATTGAAAAGTGGGCGGAGTCATATATGTGTCGGTACCAAACCAATTCAGTTGAAGTATGTGTGTCAAATAGCAAAAGTGAAAAAAATTCGAAGAAGCAGAATTCATAAAACATTTTGGAAAACCATGACCGCGCTAAGAAGTGGGCGGGGATGTTGGGGCGGGGCTTGCAGCAGTACCTAGTGTGGTCTAGTTCTCAACTGCCCATTGTAGGGGT